ACATGGAAATACAAATAACGTATAAACTAGAAAATTGTTTGAAAGTACTTACGCTGTTTATAAACGAAGATCATTAAAGGCATGAAAAAAAATAACTTATGTATATTATATATGTGATTTTAGAAGTACAAATAATTATATTTCATTAAAACTTCAAATAAATTCATGTTTTAATTATGTAAATTTAATTTTGTCATAAATTGCTTTAAAAATTAATTTGTATAACTTTAAGGCATTGAAGAATATGTTAAATTGTAGAATTTATAAGATACTGATAACATCTTATCTACAAGTTGTTTTTGTAAATTTGAAAAGCTGTACATAGTTTTCTTAGAACGATTTTGCAAATAAACCATTTTTTTGCATGGAAACAGATTATATAAATTTATATTTGGATAGCAATTATATAAAACAAATTAACAAGTATGCATTATTTATATACAGAAATTTGCATCAATAATAACAAGAACTGCAAGGTTATGTTTCAACGTATCAACTTAATTGTATTGTTATAATGAACTGTATTGACAGTATCGTTTGTTTAAATGATATCAAACTAAATTTTCTAATTTGAATGATCAAACTTATGACCTTTAATCCCAGCCATCATAGACCAATTTGACAAGTACGGAATATCGAATTTACACTTTCAGAACGTTTGTGACGTAAGCCACCTAAAGCTCTATACACTTTAAAACCTAAAGGTACTTAATGAATACAGCATTAACGTATTAACAAATTGATTTTTCAAATGACTTGTGAGAGAACTTATAATTAAAAAATATGGAATTTTGATTTCTACATTGCAAGAAATTTATATCTGTGCAAACACGGAAAAATAATAAATAATTACAGTCACGAGTGGCACTACTACAGTACGGGCTATGTACAATTTGATTCAGTAAGATAAGAAATAGTAATACATTAAAATTTATTCAAAAAGCAATATATACGTTATATGTATGTGTAATTTTGGAAATACAGTTATACGCTATACACACGCTATACACGCAGTAGTACATAACATATGTAATTAAGACGTTCCTTAATGAAGTAACCTTGATTACATTTTGTAGGTATTTAATGTAATCCTCTTAATAAATGTAAACGTAATAATGTGAATAATAAAATTCTGAAGACATGGCGGAAAAATTAACAGTTTTATTGTGAACTCACCTTAAGATTCTGATTCGGCTACGAAGAGTCCAATGCGAACCATGAAAGTTTAAATGAGGGATGTTCATTGGATCGACTGTAAGTGTCGCTGACTCGTACGTGGTGCGATATTGAGTTGTGATCATTGCGTGTACACTTTCTTTTGCATTCAAGTCAAATAAATAATGAGTGAACAGAACAGGTAAGTAAATAAAGAAAAAGAAATTCTCAACTCGATGATATCTATAACAATCAATTATATTATTTAAAAGCGTAAAAATGGGGTATACAAATAAAATGCATCCATGCTGGCTTCCAATTTTACGATGTCATCATGTCGACGCAACGCGTCCTTTCATAGATTCTTCTAAAAAATATCTACTGTCATTGGAATTGTATGCTATAAAAGCTAGTTTGTCCTAATAGGCAGATGTTTATTGAATCTACAAAGTACAATGACATGAATCTTGCTTATCATTTTTGCGAGCCGACTGATGATGGCCGAACACTACGTTAAACATGACAAAGAAATTTTAGGAGAATCTTTATCATGTATTCTTTAAATTGTAATAATTCTTCATTTTATAACGAATTTGAACCAATATAAAATTTATGCAATGAAGATATTTTATCTACAATGATGTTAAACTGTCTAAACATATATGTTTTATAGTACTAATGAAACAGGATTGCTGATTAAAACGACTGAT